TTTTTTTTTTTGTTACACTTTATTATTTGAACTTCTCAAATATTCCATAATACTCTCTTGGCTTCGACAACAAAAATATGTTATACAACAATACTAGTAAAATTATAAAAAATATTCTACACCAATACAAATAACAACAACCGATTAATATTCATCTTTTATTTATGGAGCAATATTTTGTACATCAAACAACAATTGCAACCTACGTTGGTACTGATTGTCCCAATCGTGAACCGAAGTAGTTCGGTGCTTGAACCAGAAAGGATGAATAGGAGGTAATGGACAATCAGGAGTCAAATCTACACGAATGTAGTGCTCGTAAACCCCAAGATGACACATCCCAATCTCACGTAGTGGGCGTGTAGCCGTTGATGGTGCAGCGAGCGGCAATACTGTGCAACTTAACTGGTTGCACTGATTCCCATTAGGACCAGAAGATAAGAAAATGACAGTCGTATTAAACAGAGTTGCAACAAGAAAGAGGTCTAATGGAGTGTCCATCCAGTGACGAGCGTCACAAGAACCCCCGTCCCACCTCATTCGATTGATTGTTGTGTCGACATCCCTGAAAAAGATATACTCGTACAAGGCACGACGGACGTAAATCTCATTGGCAATGTTCTCTCGTACGACTTGCCACATCTCCTGATCCCCGTAAATGTAACTCGCAATAACCCTCCATCCACAGTTTCCATCTGCCTTCACATTCAAGTAGCTCAATACGCAGTCCAACATATGTCATGGAATACTATTCCGGTATTCAAACCCAAATATATCTTGCGACGTACCAGCTGAAATATTGTAATAATTTCACATCACAATTTATACAATATAATTAATATTAAAACTTTAATTAACATTCAGTTGTTAAAAAAAATAAAAATGTCACCTTCTGGCACAAGTTGTGACGGTTGAGAAGACTGACTGCTTGGCGGTCCACGCGAAGAAGTGCTTGTCGGTCTGCGCGAAGAAGTGCTTGTACGGCCTACCGGACGACCTCTCGAATTATCTTTGTACTCCCAGCGCGATGGTTTACGCTTAGTTGAATCGGTTTTCTTAGGACGACCTCGGGTATTTTCCTTAACCTCAGGTTCTGCATAAGCTTGTTGGTCCGGGTAAAGCTGAGCGTACATGACGTGATTCATGTAGCGAATCGTCGCAGGATCGCCCATTTCAACCTCTTGGACAAACGTTCGAAATACATCAACATCTGTCCATGCACTCTGGTTATCCTGGCTCTTGTTATCCTGGCTCTGGTGATCTGTCCCTAAAAGTGTATGGTTTAAAAAAAATCAAATAATTGAACACCGTAATGTAATATAAATTGTAATTAACAATAAATCACAAAGTAGAAATTGTAAACAAAATATTAATCTTAAATTACCTGGCTGTAACATCTCTAGTGTCCTCCAGAACTCGTGGACATCATCCAATTGAATCGAAATGTCAGAATCAGATGTCGTACGAAGTGAACAGGCACAAGGAATCCCATGAGTGGTAAGTAATACACAACCGCAGCGCTCGTAAACTTCATAGCTCAAGTCTCACATCCTCGTTAGCTCAGAGTTCAATATATCTAGACAGTAATGCGAGACCCTCAGTGTCAAGCACGCGAAAGGGAATCCCGTAAACCCCGTATACCTCCTAAGTCTCGAAGGCTCAAGCGTTCTCCTGGTAAATAATATATAGATATTAAATAAAATATTATTTATATTTTACATCTTTGTCGGCGTTTTTTTATATATATCTATTTTTATACATAATAAATCGAAACTAAAATGAAGTACCCGAAATTAAGGAATGTACCTTATTTCAGTCAACTGCGATTTGATCTCCGCATCAATCTTCTGCCACACGGTATCGAGCGCGCCAGTCGACGTCTGAAGCCACTGCTTCAACACAGAGTGGGCACTCTCCACCCTACAGGAAGTAGTGTTGCCAAAATATGTTACCCGGTTAGTCCAAGCTTTCACAAACTTCTCCTTGTGCACTAACCAGGTCTTCTCCACATATTCTAATACTTCGGGGGATTTATGGTATTTGGCGTACAATTGAGCTACGGCAGTGTCATACTCATCAACCGTACTAGCATCGGCAATCGCTTCCACCTACCGCGCAAGAAACTCTGGGCTAATTTCTTATTTTTTCCAAGTAGCATGTAAACTTTTTCTTCCACATCTTTATTGATGTGCCACGTGCAAAGTAAGTGGGCAGATTGGGGAAAGCTCCTCCTAACAGGAGTCATTAAGTCCATCTCTCTGTCAGTGACAACCGCATTAGGATGTACCTGAGCAACGACGGATACATAAATATTAATGACACAGAGCAAATAATTACTAAAATGTTGTTACTATATTGCACAAAATACTTTTATTACAAATCAAACAAATATTTTATCATTACCTTAGAGCCTATCAGAAGTCTCAGCTTATGGAGAACCCAATCATAACTGGTCTCTTTCTCGTCTTTCACGAATGCGTACGCAATCAGGAAGTTACTGTTGCACAGAGTCATGCCAATCATCTTGACCAACGGCATCTTGTACCTTTACAAATGAGATCAAAAGAAAAAAAAATTAATTAAATAAAATTTAATCGAACATATTAATTTTAATTCATACTAAAAACGTATTTAAAAATTAACACACCTGTTGGTTTTGTAGGTGGAATCTATGCCGACATACAAGTAATATGTCCGGAATAGTCTGACTGAATCAGGATGGGCCATGAATATGTGTGCCAACACATTTGTGTTCGGATCGACTTCTGTATAAACTATATAACTGCTGCTCATAGCCAAATGTAAAAGCTGGGTAGTAACGTCTCTACCCTCGAAACTTTCCTTGCGCAGTCTGTCTCTATAGTTATATATCTGTTTTACGGTAGCGTGATCTCCCAGATTTCTTGCCTGGATAGCGGTCAGAATATTTGTTGGTCTCACCTTAGCAGCAGTCATATTACGAATAATATTTTTTGATGCGTCGCTGATACCGCTATACTGTCTATGGCCCTCGGGATACACAACAAATGAATGATTGTGGAATCCCCTCTCTTTGTTCTGACACGGGTGGATCATCTAGAATGTCGTTCCGGGCACCCGCTTTACTCTTATCTGAAACGGGCACATGCACCTGGTGGTTTTTGATTTTCGAGAAGCTAACATCTACGTTTTTGCCTCTATAACGTTCGCCTCGTTTGCACTTCAAGATCTTCAAGTTTCCATCTTTTGTGTGTTTCGAAATAATCAAAGAGAAACCATTAAGAAGTGCCGTACTTCTTGCATCTTGAATCGCAGCGTCATCACTAATAAAGAATGTAGTTGTATTGAAAGCGAAAATGTAATCAATACCATCTCCTCCAAAATCTTCCAATGACACCTGCAATATATTACAATATTTATAATTTCTAAACATGTTAAATTATATTATATAGCATAATAATTTATAACTCCTAAGACGATAATATCTAACGTCTAATCTATAACATAATTATTTCGAATCTATAACATAATAATTGCTAACTCCTAATTAATAAATTATTATGATAAATCATTTATTTTTAGTCAAATAATTTATTAATTTTTTTTATTAATTAATAATATTATATTAATTAATATTATTTCAAATTTATATTAATCAATTTATAACAATATATTATTCAATTTATAACATAATTATTTCGAATTTATAACATAATATTTTCTAAATCCTAACGCAATAATATCTAACGTTCAATTTATAACATAACTATTTCGATTGTACAACATAATAATTTCTAACGTTTAATTTCTACTTAAACAAGTCTAAATAATTTATAATTACCAAGACAATAATATCTAACGTCCAAATTATAACATAATTATTTCAAATCTATAACATAATAGTTTCTAATTCCTAACGCAATAATATCTAACGTTCAATTTATAACATAATTATTTCGAATTTATAACATAATAATTTCTAATTCCTAAAATAATTTTTATAATAAAATAAATTCTAATAATAATATTTCAAATAAATAATCATACATAATAATAATAAATTTTCGGGAAAAAAAAAAATTAGGGTGTCCGGCCGGTCGGACCGGCCGGATCGTGTAACGGCCGACCGTCGCCGCCGGACACGGACCGGTCCGTACGGACCAATAAACCGGACATTATGCATGAAGTCCGACCGGTCGGGCCGGACGCCAGTTAGGCCGTCCGGACGGAAAAAAAAATTACCTTAGAATCGGATAACATTTTCGGCGAATGAAAAAATACGAGGGACAAAATCGTCCAAAGGGAGCGGTGACTAGTAATAAAGGGGGCGACAATTAGCAATGCCCAGTGTAAAAAGCTTGGTTGAGCTCATTAGACAACTTTTAGGTCAGCTTGAACAAACCCACTACATAAGCTATTTCAAAAATTAAAAAATATGAAAACGTTATGGTGAAACTCAACAATAGTCGTATTAACAATTGTGGCAAATACATTGTAAATCGTGCTTTTATGTCAGAGAATGGTATAGATGCACCCAGCCTCTGCAACAGAATGCATGTCATTGCCGTAAACATATATGTAAATACAACTTCTGGACTATCTCAACATCTTGCTATGCTACAAAATTACTGGCTATTTTAGCCTGCAAATACGTAGAAAGATAGAGGTGAAATTTGTTTTCCACCACAAAGCAAACACAATTCCCTTTTCATGAAATTAGGAATGGTTAACTTCACACGGCGTGAAACTTTCTTAAGCAACTGTTGATTCTTGTATAACAGCAATCAATAAGGTTGTGTGCTGCAATATCCTCTATACTTCCGTCAAAGGTTACGACTGACTCAAAATATCTCTGGACTCTATTTGGGAATCCTCATAAAGTGAGGATCCACTAGAAGAATCACTTTCTTCATATGGTGTGCCTTCAAAGGGTGTTCCTTCAAAGGGTGAGCCCTCTCTGGGAGGTCCGGAGAATGACCCTTTATGCTGCAAAGATAAACCTAGAGCACAAAGAGCAGTAAGTTCATTGTCCAGTAATTTCCTTTCTTCCATAAAAAAGTGAACAAGACTAAATTTACACGCAAATGGACCAAACATCAAATGAAAGTGATATGGTTATGCACTCAAACGAGCATGACTAAACAAATGGGGTTAATATGAACCTACTATTGATGTCTAGTCTAATGTCGAAAACACAACCAAAAATTACAATTATCTCATCCATATTAGTTTGTTTACAATTGCACACTTGAAAAAGTGATGCTTGTGCGGAATATACTAATAACCTCCGGAGGTATTTGCAATATCCTATGAGTAACATATGTTAATTTGATTTCGACTTTTTTAAACCCAACCAAAAAAGAGAAAAAA